AGACCAGAGATACCAGCAGGACACTCTGTCTCTCAACTATGCTTTTCTTAGATACTGCTTTATTTCTTGCTGAACAGTATGGCAGGAAATATGACCACAAACATTAGAGTTTTAAATCTCAAAATTTTACCTCTTCAGAGAAACAGGTTTGACTTACCAGGTCCTGAATCCAAAAATCTTGGGAAAGGAATGCGTTGAGCCAGGTGTCTATTCCTGAACCAATTAATTGTGATCAGGTCGCGAGGTGGCATAAGAACATGCGAGCTCCTTAAAGAACTGATTGTGGCAAGGCTCTTGGGAGATGGTAGGGTGTGTTAAGCAGACAATCCCATACATAATCCTATAGGGTAAAAACACTAAGCAGAAAGCTCCCTCAAAGGACCATGACTTTAGTCATGACCTAGATAAAAGCAACCCTGAAACATTTTAATTATTCTTAGTCTTTAGTGTCATAGAACTTACTTGACATCTCATTGTCAGCTGTCAGAACACATCTTGATACCTAGGAAATTCATAGAAACAATCAAATCATAGCATGGACTTTCACAAATCAAAGTCAGAAGAAAAAAGTAGTTTCTACTTTGTAAAGTAGTATTTTCGTTAGCAAAGCCACTACCTCATATGGTGCTACTCTGCCATATTCCAAAAAGGCACCCTTGAATGTAAGTTGGATTTTTAGCCTGTGTCTACCCCTCAGTCAGCTGCCACTACACATCTCTTTATGATAGTTGTACTAAAAATGAATTTAGCTATTTGGAGTTAAGTGAATCTGGGAAATGTTGAGTGATCAAAACAAAATGGGTATCAAGAATTGTGAAGGACATGAGATGTTACCCTACTTGCAAGCACACAAGTTGCTAAGACAATTTTATGGATACTGGTAAAAGACATGAGACTCCTGTGTCAAAGACAAGAGGCAGTGTATTACTCACAGCAATAGTAGTAGCCAGAGTAACCTCATTTGTGCCACTTCTCTGAGCCCCAGTTCCCACAGGGTGATATGATGAAGGCCAAGTGATGACACTACATGCAGTCTTTTGCTTTACAGGAGAGGAACCTTTACAGAAGATATAAAGAGCTGTTAGCAAATCTGTCCAGACTTTGCTCCAGAGTAAGGCATTTTCCTGTTTCCAAAGGCTGTTTGCTATACAAACATCCTTGAAAAGATTTTGAACAGCCAGATTAACACCTTTGCTCAGAACACGTTCGCAAACATGGGAGACTATGGAGAATTATTTCCCAACAAGAGAAAGGGAAGGGAGGGGGAAATATGTAACATCTGTGCCCCTAGATCCTGGGCCAGCAAACTTTTCCTGTAAAGGGTGCAGATAGTAAATATGTATGTAAATAGTAAATATGTAAGTATTCAGCTCTACCATTGCAGAGCAAAAAAGCAGCCATCGACAATATGTAAATGAATGAGTATGGCTGTGTTCCATACAGACTTGATAAAACAGGAAGTAGGCCACATGTGACTTGTGGGCTACAATGTGCCAACCCTTACCCAAGATGATCTGTTTTATTCATACTCCTTAAGTATCTGCCTGTTTTCTTAAACGTAAGCCCTCGTTTTCACAGCCCAGATCTAGGTCTTTCTGTAATTAATTTATTATCTTTTATCTTTTATTTTGTATGTTTAGTAAGATTATTGATATTTATAAAATATGAAGTCAGAAAAGCCATTCTCAGTGTTTAGCATCTTAGAATAGAAGCAGCCACAGATCATATATGTTTCTGGAATATAGATATCTGATATACAAAATATTGAACTAAACTCTTATTTTCCCATCAGGATTAATTGTATTGCATATGGAAATTCTTGAAGGATTTATGGAACCTACTGGTTTTACTCAACAAAATATCACCTATGTAATTCATCTAGATAGTGGAGGGAAATAGACTTTATATGATCTGTATGAACTTAGAAAATTCGTTAAAAAGAAAAAAAATGAAACTTCCAGTTAGCCCTTGTCTGTAGTTAAAAAGTACGTATTATTACCACAAAGTGCCATTTATGAGGCTGCTTATATTGGGAAGAGAACATAGACCTCTGTGTATTATCACAGATAACCTTTGAGAATTGTCACAGAGGACCTTTTTTAGATGTTGAATTTATTAGTGCTTCTTAAACTTGATTTGAGTGTGGATAGAACGAGTGGAGAAAAGTATGTATTTATTTCTTTGCACATCCGTTAACATCTTTTTAATGACTATAATAAAGGTGCAGAATTTTGAGACAGGGTAGGAAAAAAAAAATATTTGTATCGTGTTTCCCAGGGTAAGACTGAGAGAGAATCAATAAACCAGCCAAGACATGTTGATAATCTTATGTGACTTAGGGTATAAAGCTCCTTATATTTCTGAGCACCTTATATTATGTTTAAGTGCAGATTCCTAGCTGTGTGTAAACCAAACTCCTGCTTCCGTTCTGCTTTTCTCCTACTGCTCCACACTTGCCTCTCTCCAACTTTCAACTTTGTTTTGCCATATTATGTGTTGCTCAAACTTTAATGAATTTTCATAGATGAAAAACTGACTGCATCAACATGTATTTAATGATTTAATGAGACTTGTGTCTCTGCAACAATGAAGAAAATAAAATAAGAATTACTGTTTGCAGTATGTTATTATGTAATTGATGGAATAAACATGAGATACTGAAAACTATAATTATCCAGATAAAGGCTTGTGTTTAAGGTTGATTATTGTAGCCTCAGTGACATGGGAATTTAAGATTTTTGCAGATTATAAATTTATAAATATGAGATGTGTATATATATATACATATATATACATGAGATATATATATATACACACACACACTAGTGCAAGCATACACACACAATTTCTTTATCTTTTTGCTTATTTTTATGATGTTCATTATATCTGTAAATGAATGTTCCCTGCTAGGGATTGCTGTCTTGGGTTATGCTGATAAACTCTCTAGAATTTGTGAAGAAAATAGAACTTAGAGTGAGCATTGAAACAGAAGAGTTTTGAAAATTATTTTTTTAAGTGTATTTATTTATTTTGAGAGAGAGAGAGGAGAGAGTTTTGAAAATTATTTTTTTAAGTGTATTTATTTATTTTGAGAGAGAGAGAGGAGAGAACCGGGGCGGGGGGGGGGGGGCAGAAAGATTGGGCGGGGGACAGACAATAAAGCGGGCTCTGTGCTGACAGCACAGAGCCCGATGTGGGGCTCTTGCTCAGTAACTGCGAGATGATGACCTGAGCTGGAGTTGGATGCTTAACTGACTGAGCCACGCAGGTGCCCCTGAAAATAATCTTTTTACGTGGAAAAGAACCTCAGCTTAGAAGAAGTGTTTTGAAAACTTAAAATGCTAGATTGCTATCATCATCAAAAGGCCAAAGTAGAATGCATAGGCCAGTTGCCCCATTATTTTATATAGCCAAAATTTTAAATCCCCTCAATTATTTGTTGTATTTTATAAATAAACTCTTGTGCATTTTTAAGATGATTATTTTAAATTGCTCACTCTTACAAATTGAGCATTTGGACAAGGAGTACTATATTCTAATGATGCTTAGAAGACACTGCCCATCATTTTGTGTGTATGATATTTAACTCTTGGATTTTTGTTGATTAATCTTAAATTACTAATATTATTATTAAGTTTTAATTTCGTCAGGTATCAGTGGCATAATGAACATATTGAATAAGTTAATATGTACTCACAATTATAATAGAAAGCCTAGGTTGGGAGAGTGCACTTGTTAGGAAAAAATCTTGATTAGGCCTGTTTAATTACAAATTGATTTTTTTAAAAAGCTAGCCCATGTCAGGTCAAGCCACATGCAGTACTTTGAATGGAAAGATAGCTATCACATGATTTTAGAAAGGACTGTGTTTATTCATTTTAATATGCTCCTCTGATTTCACTCAGGATTGTAGGGAGAATTTAACTAAAAGAGGCTAAAATTCAACGGAAGGATATAAACAGATAATTAGCCAAGAAAATACTATTTGGGGGGGGAGGGAGTGATAAAGGACACTTTGTTTTGCCAAGTAATTGAATCATAATGTAGGACTGTAAGAAATAAAACAATGTGGTACTGGTTTAACAGCTCGATCAGAGCCAAAAATGTCTCCAAATATGTAAATAATCAGAACATTTGCATTTACAGGTCACTGAGGAAAAGGTAATCATTAAATCATGTACAGGCAATTGATTCAGTATTTGGACCAAAAAAATTAAATTTAGAGGTCAATACATTTAAAACAGTATCACACAAATTAAAAATTGCAACCATGAAAGGTCTAGAAGAAACTGTAAGTGAATAGTTATCTGAGCTCAAAGTAGGGAAGATCTTTTTAATTATTAAACCAAAGGAATAAACCACCTTGAATGAGGTTATAGTCTTCATTTTATAGTGAAAGAAATGCAAGGTGAAAAAAGTTCAAGGAGTTGAGATTGGAAATTTTTGGTAGGTGATACCATCTTCAAAAACCTGAGAAAATCAACTGACAAATTATTAAAACTAAAGAAAATAAGCAAGATGCCCAAATATAGTTGACCTAGGAAAAAAACTGACAAAAAAGTTTATAAATTCTAAAAAAAATTGTATATATGACAGACAGCTTATTCTCTTCTTTTTTTTAATTGACATCCACATTAGCATATAGTGCAGTAGTGATTTCAGGAGTAGAATCCAGTAATTCATCCCCTATCCACAACACCCAGTGCTCATCTCAACACGTGTCTTTAATGCCCCATGCCCGTATACTTATTCTCTTCTTATTAGGTATATATTGTCAAAATATTTTAATATATGTTGAGTATAGAAAAATTTTAATGCTGTTTTGGAGGCATTTTCTTTACGTTTTTATATAATTTCTGATTTAATATCTGTGAGTATGATATTTGTTATTGTGGTTTATGTAATACTTAAGGGAAAATAGGAGTTAATATCCTACAATTTTCAAAGAGAATAACTATATTTACTAATTCATCTTTCTTTGTTTTTCCAATGTGCAATAGGTCAGTACTCCTGTCTTTGTACCAGTGAAAACTCATGTGCTGCTTCATCGAATGAGTGGAAAAGGACTAGCTGCCCATTATTTCTTTCCAAGGCAACCTTGTATTTTTGGTGATAAGATGGTCTCTGTACAAATAACATTGAATAATACTACTGATCGAAAGATAGAAAATATCCACATAGGCGGGAAAAGACTTCCTATAGGCATGCAAATGCATGTTTTTAATACAATAGGTAAATATTAATTCTCATTTAAAACTTTATATTTGATAATTAAATACATTTATTTTGAAAGTAAAGTAGAATACATATTATTTTATTGACTATATTTGTCAGTATAGTCAGTTTACGTTTGTGTCCTTTTTTAAACTGAATTTATCATAAAAAACGAATACACTTCTTTGCCCTTAGTGAATTGGGTGCCAGCAGTGGTAACATGTATGTACCAGTACTGATGGATCTCAAGAATCAAAATTGCCTCTCATTTTACCTGTCTTCATCACCTTCCCTCTGTTTCTCTTCCTGGCCAACTTCATTCCCTGCCTGAGTTTAGTCTGCCTTTTTGAATCATAGCTCCCCTTCCCTGTTTCCTTTACATTCCATAAATTGCAAAGTGAGGAGAGCAAAGGCTGAGAGGATTTATACTATTCTGTTTGTCTTCCTTTCCAGGTATACAGTGTAAAGTAGCCCATAGTAGGGGCACCAGGGTGGCTCAGTCGGTTAAGCGTCCAACTCTTCATTTCAGCTCAGGTCATGATCTCACAGTTTGTGAGATTAAGCCCTGTCTCAGGGTCTGTGCTGACAGCACAGAGCCTGCTTGGGATTTTCCCTCTCTCTCTCTCTCTCTCTCTCTCTCTCTCTCTCATTCTGCCTCTCTCTCTCTCTCTCTCTGCCTATCCATTGAGCATACACACTCTGTCAATCTCAAAATAAATAATTAAAAAAAATAGTCGATAGTATATTACTAGTATTTATACACCTCATGTTTGAAAATATTTTTAATCTTTTGCTACCATTTAGAAATCAAGATGTTTTGAGGTGCCTGGCTGATGCAATCAGTTAAGCATCCGACTTTGGCTGAGGTCATGATCTCATAGTTCATGAGTTCAAGCCCTGCTTCAGGTTCACTCAAACCATGCTTCAGACTCTGCACTCTCTCTCCCGGTCTCCCTCCGTCTCTCTCATAAACAAATAAATAAGAAGAAACTCTTTAAAAAGAAAAGAATTTTAAAAAATAGAAATCAAGATGTTTTTAAATTAGAAAACAAATCCAAAAACCTCACTTTTCTTAGAAAAAAGCACAAGATCTGGCAGTATTGTGCCTTTATTCCAACATACAACAGCACCAGTTGGTGTAGAGGAGGCTGCCCTTAGATGCAGCCTGTGCTTTCCACCTGGCCTCCGTGCTCAATGTATCACACTGTCTCACCAACTGTCATCTTCTTCCATTTTTTAAGTATTTTGCCAGAAATAATACTTTAAAAAAAATTAAGTGTGGGGCGCCTGGGTGGCGCAGTCGGTTAAGCGTCCGACTTCAGCCAGGTCACGATCTCGCGGTCTGTGAGTTCGAGCCCCGCGTCAGGCTCTGGGCTGATGGCTCAGAGCCTGGAGCCTGTTTCCGATTCTGTGTCTCCCTCTCTCTCTGCCCCTCCCCCGTTCATGCTCTGTCTCTCTCTGTCCCAAAAATAAATAAACGTTGAAAAAAAAATTTAAAAAAAAAAAAAATTAAGTGTAACAATTGTGTGTTATTTTGAGTTTAAAGATTATAATTAATGTTTACCTCTATTTTTTCTGTTTGGTTTAAGTGGAAACAGTCCTAGAGTTTCATTGGGAGAAACTTCAGGCAATAATACCAATTAAAACTGATAGAAGGTTTCTGTCATTGAATCCTTGAAATACTATCCAGTTCCAGATAGTTCCTTTTTGTAATACTTTAGGTGCTCAAAGCCTTTTAAGCAGGGAACTGTGCCTTCTTTTACTCATTATTTCACGTAACTATTCTGTTTTTCTTCATCTCCACCTGAGCTTTTTGACACTGTTGAATTCTCTCCTGTAAGTTTTCATGAGTCATTCAGCAAAGGAAGTCATATATTGTGTTATATTTTTACACAAAGGAATAAAACAGTTCCTAACAGATGACATATGGTAGATGTTTATAAGCAACCAAAGTAGAGTTAAAGTGACTTGATTTCATAACCCATTTAATACACTTCTGAAAATAATTTGGTGATTAAGGCACAATTTAATAAATACAGAGTATCCTGATTTTTATTTAATTATTTTGTGAAGTCATTACATTGCCAAGGAGTTCTAAAATATCCCAGTTTGTGTTCTTTTTTTATTGCTTAAAATCCAACATTTTTTACCTAGTTAAAAAATTAGTTTAGTTGTAAGAAATGTCAAGCAGCTGATAAATGAATTGTCTGAAGGTTGAAAATGTTATTCAAAGGTTAAAACAGTAGAACAGTATTAACATTTCTTTGAGTTGGCATAATGAGTTGATGAGTTGACCTTTTATTGGCCTATGTAGAATAGAAGAAATAAATATAATAAATTTCATAGTATGGCCTTAACACGGAAATAAAATATGAATGTATACCATTGCCTCAGTACTAGCCATAGGCTTTTCTTTTCTTTTCTCTTCTCTTCTTTTCTTTTTTCTTTTCTTTTCTTTTCTTTTCTTTTCTTTTCTTTTCTTTTCTTAGGCAGATTTTTATGACCATAGTGTTTTATTCATGTTGTTGGCATTTTATTGAAACCCTCAAGAAACAGAGTTCTTTCCTGTGCAGTAACACCACCTAGTCTCTTATCAATAGATTACAGTAGAGTTACAGGGTATGTTATATCTTAATTAGTCCTCCAAAAACATCTTAATGCAACAAAGAAAAAATACTGTATTTTAATCTTTTTGTGAAATGAGGAAAGTGAACTACTTATTTAATAAGCACATATGCATATGTTAAGGAGTCCAGCAGCTTTCTTATTTATCACCAATCTGTTTTCTTTTTGTCTATAATATACAGTGACTTTTGTCTGGATTTTGCCCTACCTTTAGCATGAAACTGTATGCTCTACAAGAGTATTAGGAGTAATGTGCCATGCCATTTTTCCCAAAGAGACCAAGGACCTAAGAGATTTAAAACACACACACACGCACGCACAACACACACACACACACACACACACACACACGCCTTAAGCTGTAAGCACTATATTCACTGGCTTTATGTTAACAGTTGACAAGTTTGAGTTCAGCTAATATTTTACTAGTTATTGTACAAGTGTCACATCAAAGTCTCTGGCAGCCTGTGTAATTTCTTTTTTCATTATTAATAGTATGGTATAATAAAGCCCATGTTTTTTCAGCCATTTCTGTATAACCCTTTTGTGTATATAGCACTGATTCAGAAGCTGTATCCAAATACAGATGCCTAATTGAGTAAACTTTCCCAGTGTAGTAGGCTTCAAATAATATAAATCCATTATATGAATAATTTTATGCTGATTACTTTGCTCTTGAAGCATTCACATAATAAAACATGCCATTGATCATGAGCTGTCCTCCAGAATTAGTGTGGGGCTAAGCTCACAGTTAATTATCTTAAGAATGAAGATGGTACCAAACTGTGTCAAAGGGCTATCAACAAGGCATCTTGAGAACTGTCACTTTGTCAAACGAAATACAAGGATACATGATATAAAGAGATTTAAATCATGAATACCATCATGTTTTGGAGATGACAGCATTTGCTACCAATGTGTCAGCTGCAAAAAGACCAAACCCCAGTATATCTATGGGGGAAGAAAGCATTAAGGATTTATTCATCATAAAAAATATGACTAATCAGGGGCAACTGGGTGGCTCAGTCGGTTGAGCGTCCAACCTCAGCTCAGGTCATGATCTCACAGTCTGTGAGTTTGAGCCCCACGTCGGGCTCTGTGCTGAGAGCTCGGAGCCTGGAGGCTGCTTCCGATTTTGTGTCTCCCTCTCTCTCTGCCCCTCCCCTGCTCATGCTGTGTCTCTCTCTGTCTCAAAAATAAGTAAAAACATTAAAAAGAAATTTAAAAATATGACTAATCAGTGTAACTAACAGAGCTGTGAACTGCTGAGGTGTAGCTTTAGGAGAAATGCAAGAAAAGTATCATTACAGTTATTTGCTCTACAATAAAGCCTGTTTGCTAAAGATTTAGGCAACAAGTTTTCTGGTACTTGTGTAGCATCCTGATAAATTTTAGGTTTATAAACAAATGAAATTCAAATCAGAATCAGCAAACCAACATACATATACCCCTAGCAAACTCATAACATTTTAAAATCAACATCAAACAAGTACCTTCCTATAAAACCTGATCTTCATTGAACCTATGAAACATAAGCATACTTCTTAATATATTAACCTTATTGAATTCTTCTTTGTCCTGTCTGTTCCATCATTTCTGTCATGGTTAGCATTAAATGGCAAACCATATTTATCGATAAGCCCTTCGATAGTCATAGTCTACTGGATTAGAGTGCCCTTGCTGAAATAAAACTATATCTAATAAGATATATACAGAATAAAGGTAAATAGAAAGCTTCTGTACAGTATGACTGCAGTTATACTGAACACTTTGAGCAAAGTGGAGATTAGAAGTGGATGGTTTCAATTTAAATATATAACATATATATAAATATTTGTACTAAATAGGTATATATTTCAGATCCTTCACTAGTCTCATGTGTAGCCAAACTTTAGAGTCATAGCAGAATAAAATGTTGTTTGTCTTAAGTTTTAGCATTGCCAATTGAAAAGTACCAGTATTGTCTATTGATACAGCTATTTCCCATTCTTGGTTAATCGAAAAGTGAATCTTCAGAAATTCCAAACCCTTTTACTTGTTTTTTCATGATAACCTAATCCACTACTAAATATTCTTCCAATAAGTCTTTGAATCATGCACTTAGACTTATTTGGGTTCCTATAATGCCAGTTGTCTTGGTTAATTTCTGAATACAAATTAATTTCTTTTTTCAGCTCTGCTTTAATTTGCATTTTTAAATTTTGGATTTTTATTTCCAGTTGGAATGTGGGAAATTTTTAAATTTACTATATCTAGAGTAAATACTCCATAATTTTTTTTTTACCTAGAGTAAATACTCCATAATTTTAAGTACGTAATCTCTTGAAAGCACCAAGTGAGTCCTTTACAGCTGTTCCAAACAGGAATACATTTCTTTCTCACTTTCAATAACAATAAGGACAATACTGTAAAACATGAAATTTCTCAGGATGAGGTATATTTCTGAAACAGAATGTGTTCTTTGAAGTATGTGCAGACTTGAGTTGTGAAAAGAAAGCCTTTGAGCAAAATCATGAAATTGTAATTTGCTTTAATATTCTTAGTTTGAAGTTGTTCTTATAAGCCATCATTAAATTTGACTGTTTTAACCAAACTACAAACACGATATAAGTTTTCAGGGATTTGTCTGCCTCCTTTTCACATCCTCCATGGTTTCATGTCTAAATTATCTTATTTCCTAGAATCTCTTGAGCCTGAGGGATCCATTACCGTTTCAATGGGTATTGACTTTTGTGATTCTACTCAGACTGCCAGTTTCCAGTTGTGGTAAGTTCAATTGTTCTCCTATATTTTATATTACCTGTAAAGGATAGCACATCAAAAAGCAGGCTTTCAGCAGCTTTTTTCTTTGAGAGAGAAACCATTTAAACAAACATGTCTTTCTTTGGCAGCGTTTAGACTGCCGTAGAATAGTTGTACACATTGTTTACGGCATATGTATTTTTAGTATTGTTACCCAGCTTAGCCATTACAGTCTGCCATATATGATTGAAATTCACAGTTTGTTGGTTAAAGTAAGAAGCTACTGCTAAATGTTTTTTTACTTAACTCTACAGTTTTAGAAAATTCATGAGGAAAATTCAGGAGAAATTAAAAACCTTAATAATAGTGAATAGGCCAGAAAAGATATGTTTTGAAATATCTTTTATATTATCTTGAGCCTCATAAGTGAAAAGTTATTGATTCTGTCAGTACCTAACACCCATACATTTTTCCCTTTTTACTTTAATTTATAAACTGCCTTTGTTAAAACTTGAAGAACATTTATACAGTTGGCAAAGGTTTCATGGGTGAATACTATACAAAAGAGCTTTTCTAGGTTTGGGTTTCATTATAGTTATTGTTTCCATATAGTGTTTTATAAATTTCTGATAAAGTCTAGGAATTCTTAGCAAATTAATACAAAGCTGTATTCATCCATCTTTCAGAATTACCTTTGAACTCTTACATTTTTCTGATCGAGGATATGATTTGTTATTTTGATTTGAAGTTGCTTTGATTTTATTCTAAAAAGAATTGAAACATTTTATTTGTCTAAATCTTAGCTAGTTTACAACAGAATTTGTTTGCTACAATAAAAGCAAGTTTAGGAAATAGACGTTTTAAAATAAATTTATAGGTTAAGTATAGTGAACTCTTCTTTTCCATATGCCTTTTCAGTTTACCAGTAATACAGGCCTAATATTGTACCATTTATTGCTGAAAACCTGCAATGATGAATATAAGCAATGTAGCATAACACATTGATTTTATGCAGATCATCACCTTTATGTTTTGGGAGGTCTGCTATATTAGTGATATATAAAAACTGATTACTTTTCCCAACATTGCCTAGTAATTGTTTATTATTTTTCTATTAGACAAACAACAGAGATCAATATTACTGAGCACAGGACTATGAGTAACATCACTCTAAATAGATTTGCCTCCAACACCAGAGGTATATTCATTTTAATGATTTCAACAATGTGAGCCCAATGACAAAGCTTGTGGACCAAGTTAGGACAAAACTAAGAACTAAAAAAAATTATTTTTTCTTATCAATTTATATGAAGAACCTGCTAGATTTCTATATGATGAGGCAGGGCTCTTTACATATATTATCATTACAAAGATTTCTTTCCTCTGTAACCCATTGGACGTTTTCTTGCATTTTATCTTTTATAATTAACTACATACCTTTAGGGATAAGTATGTAGGTAGTGTTTGATTTTTTTGTCTTACATTGGGGAGTGTATATCAACAATTTTTTCTCAATTTCTTTTAAACGAATTTTAGGAAAATTAGGAGTTTATTTTATATAGAAAATAGCCTTAGCTGTTATAAGCATTTACACTAATGTTTTTCTGTTGTGAATATATAAATTATTTTAGATTTTATTAAACACATAAGCATACTAGATCAAAAATTATTTTTTATATGTTCCAAAAAGAACACTTTGTCTTGCATCAAATGTAATTGATCCTGAAGCAATGTAATCACAATTACTCACTTTCTTAATTGGCCTGCCCAAAATCAGAAAATGGAAACCAATCGACAGTGTTTAAATCAATAGCTTCATAGTAGTGCTAGTGGGGGTAGGGAGATAGCGGTAATGGGTAGATCAATCGGTCTTAGATGCCAATCACTGACTGTGCCTTTTGCATAGTAAACAGCACTTTTTGCTTAGTGATGTGCTGTATTAGTCTTGGTAGTTCAATAATAAGGGGGGAAAAAAGCAAGAATAGCTGATATTGAATTTTTTCCTCAAAATACATTATACAAATCGATAGGTAAAATTATGGATAATAAGAGCATATTTGGTAAGAAGCCTTGAGAAATGCTGGGAACATGGACTATAAGCCTTTCAGGTATACTTCTATTTATTAAAAGAAAATAAGAGTAAAATGATTCTACTTTAGTCTCTACATTAATTCTGTATCATTATAGCTATATGACACATACATACATATACGTAGAACTATTGTATATAGTTATGTGAATACTCGATGTGTTAATGCCTTTTTTTGCTTTGCATTTTAAATGGTAATCAAAATAAGTCCTTGATTAAACTTACTGAGATTTAAAATGTGTATAATACACATAAATGTGTGTCTCTCTCTCAAAGTAGATTCAGTGCTTAAACAGGTCTCATGCTTGTGATCAGTAGATACTAGTGTGGTAACTAGTGTGAAAAATACGTCTTCACTCAAGTTAGAGGGGTGAGTACTAGCATCTACCCCTCTTCTTTGCCCCAAATCTATTTAAAAGACAGAAACACATTCTTTAAAAGAGAATGAACACTAAAAACAAAATGAAAGAATGTCATTAGCTGACCAGAAATTGTGAAGAGTTGTTGGCAGTTAGAAAGCAAATGGGAACATATCAACAGTAACAGAGAAAATAAAAACCACAGAGCGAAACACTCATCTAAGAAAACTGCAATGGTAAGAAAAAATCTAGCAGAATATGAAGCATAAAGTGAACAGATGAAAAGTTAGGGTAAGACAGTCATCAGGAAATCAAAGAACTACTTCCAGCCCCCAGTTCTCCCACCTTACTCTAACGGCAGGCAACATTCACATTTAGTCAGAGACCTAAAAATTACACTGCAAGGAGAACGACCTACTTTCCTGGAAGGACTTTTGGTGTGGATGTGGAGTCCTAAGACAACAGCAGGGTTTTTGAGTTTGTGGGAAGGAGGCAGCGATGGTCAGAGATGAGGTGAAATGAAGTTCTGTCCAGAAGAGGAGTATTCTCAAGTTCTGTCCCACGAGAGCAAAGTCAGTCTTACACCTGTTTTTGGAGAGATAAGGCCATTGCCTACCTGCCTCTCAACTTCATGTCCATGTAACCAGTCATGCCTCACCCACAAGAAAACTTCAGTCAGCCCACCATGGGAGAGGAAACCCACAGTAATAATACTATGTATCAAGCAATTGCAGTGTGCTTGGCATTGTTCTAAACACTTGTATTGTGTTAATTTATTTAATTCTCAGAACAATTCCATGAGATAAGTATTATTATCCCATTTTTAGAGGTGAATAGACTGAGGCACAATAAGAGTAAGAAAACTGTCTAAAATACAGCTAATAGGTAGCAGACTTGTGTATGTTAATTAAGCCAGTTCCTTCATTATGAATGAAAAATGGACAGCCTACGGAGGGACTAGACTTTTGAGGAAAAGCATCAGTTTGGAAGGGAAGACTCAAGGTGACTACAAAGACTCATTACAAAGGGATAAGACAGGTTGAAAAAGAAAAGAGATAACTTTAAAAATTATAATCTAATTCAAGAGAACACTACATCTTTACAACATTTATTTATTTATTTTTTTGAAGGACAGAGACAGAGTGTGAGCGAGGGAGGGGCAGAGAGAGAGGGAGAGGCAGAATCTGAAGCAGGTGCCAAGCTCTGAGCTGTCAGCACTGAGCCCAGCACAGGACTCGCACCCGTGACCTGTGAGATCATGACCTGAGCTGAAGTCAGACGCTTAACCAACTGAGCCACCCAGGCACCCCGAGAGCACTACATCTTTAAAGCAAGAACATATCACTTGCTTTGAAATAGGAACAATTACAAAATTTTAAATATATTTTCAGAGGTTTAAAAATACAGTGCCAAAAGAAATTCAGTAGATGCACAATAGAATGCCCACAGCTGAGTACTGATTTAGTTCTGGAAGAGGGAGCAGTGAAATCAACTGGAATAGAGAACAAAAAGAGGTGGAAACTGTGTAAGAAAGGTTAAAAGAAACAATTCGTCTAATAAATCTACAAGGAAAGAAAAGAAATGATGGAGCGAAGAAATAAATAAATTGTAGAAGAAAAATTTTTCCCAAGCTAAAGCAATGTACAACCCTTCAGATTGAAAGGACCCATCAACGATCAAACAGGATGAATGTGAACTACAATCAAAAAGACCACATATCCTTGTGACATTTTTGATAAGGAGAAAACCAATGTGGTGTCTTTCAGAGTGGAGAAAAAAGCAGCTTACCTAAAAAATAGCAAGAATGTGAATGGAATTAGATTTCTCATCAATACTGTCATCATTTCTGGTGGCCAGAAGGCAAAGAACGAGGAAACCAAATAGACGTTTTTCAGAGAAGCACATTTCCTCAGTTTACCACCCACAGGCCCTTTCTTGAAAGGATTACTCAAATATATGCTGTAGTAAAAACCTTTGTGTAATGTGAATCAGAGAAAAACACAGAGTCCAAAAAAAGTAATGGACAAAGCATTCTAGCTGTAAAACGTATTAATGCGTAAGATAATTGTTCACACAGAATGCAGAAAATAAATTTTAATAATACACTGGAACTAAAATCCTGACATGGACAAGTTTGAGAAGGGATGAATAATGGTGATCTTGTCATGTTTGGCAGACGGATTGATTAATGGCGAAAAGAGGTTTAAATATGGTTTAAAATATTAAAACTACCCACTAAAATAATGAGAATATGAGATATAACCCCAAATGTCTAGAGGTAAGAAGAAGTGATTAAAACTTGATCAGTTTGGGGGCACCTGGGTGGCTCAGTTGGTTAAGCGTCCTACTTGATTTTAGCTCAGATTATGATCTCACAGTTTGTGAGATCAAGCCCTACATTGGTCTCCACGCTAACAGCTTGGAATTCTCTTTCCCTCTCTCTGCCCCTTCTCACTCGCTCAGTCACTCTCTCAAAAGAAATAAATAAACATTAAAAAAAAAAAAACTTGATCATTTAAACAAAGAGGGAGAAGAACAAAGCATGGTAAATAGAACACAAAATAACGTGCCTGGAA